AAGAAAGAAAGAAAGCTCAGTTCAATTTCAGGTGTGGATATTTCTGCATGTCTATTTGCACAGAAGAGATGAAAATGATTTTACATGAATGTTCTTCCAGCACTGCACGCCAAGAGAAAACTATGCAAACTTCAGCGTGGAACTGAATTCCGGATCAAAAACGCGTTCGCCTTCTTAGCACGGTCCGATTCTTCTCCTCCCATAAACGGCTCTTTACTCTCCTCCCTCGCGTCATCTTTCCATCAACCTTGAGACTTTGGTGAACCAATCCGCGCCACCTTTTTTATCTCTCTCCAGCATGGGGAAGTAGCGATGCTTTCTGCCTCCAACATGCTTCTTTTCACTTTCGCTTTTAACTCCTTCGCTCCAAACGTTACCGAGCCTGGCCTGGAACAGGTAAGAGAGCAGGGGGTGGGGTCGCTTTCTTTTAAGGACTTCCCCCCCCCCCCCCGTCCCTTCTGCCGCCTGATCCTCCTTAAGCTGTGCTTTGTCAAGTTCAGCTGACCGGGAAGAAAGCGTCTCAGATAAGATGTTTACAGCTTCAGATAAACATAGAGGATGGGGCAAAGCTTGTTTTCAAATCCTCCACATGTGAGAATTAGTAATAAGGCCTAGGCAGGATGGATTAGACCCAGAGAAAATCAGTCGGACAAATTGCTATTCCAGCATCTTATCTGCCACTCCTTAAATCCATGTTCTATTTTAATCATCCTTCCTTATCTTTTTTCTGGAGGGCAACTTGTAGGAAAAATAGTATAAATACTGGTTCTCTGTGTGGATGTTGCTTCCAGAAGTCCATTCTGGGCCTGGGCAACAACAACAACAACAAAAATTAGCTATCAGTTCTACGGAACTGGTATGTGTGTATGTATGTATAGATATATATAGATATATTAGTAATAAGGCCTAGGCAGGATGGATTAGACCCAGAGAAAATCAGTTGGACAAATTGTTATTCCAGTTTATTGGTTATTATAGCATACCCAACTTCTTCCCGAAGGAACAGAGATGCTGTGAGATGAGCGCCATATTAATTTGATTAAATAAATATATAGCAAGAAGTAGTCTTGCCCAATAACTTCTTCAGCAGTGTCATTAATTATTAATAAATTCATTACTTTGTCAATCCCAAAGCAGTCTTTCACAAGAGAGTGTTGTCCAAATTGTTGGACTTCAAAATCCCAAAATTTTCAGTCAGTAAAATGGCTGGGAATTCTGGGAGATGAAGTCCAATAGATGCAGGGGGGGCACTTTTAAGAAAGATACTTTGAAGTGACATTGCAAGTCTATACAGTTGTGTGGGGGACTTCCTTTGTGTGAGACTTTGGATTAATTTAACTAATTCTTCATTCTGACGAATTCTTCAATTTGCCCATCTCTTAACTCCCATGAATCAAGTTCAAGTCTTGACATTTCTTAAAATCACACCTTAATTTTGACAATCCCATAGAGATAGTTTTTTACACCTGTTTGGGGACATTTTTTTCAACTTCCCAGTCTAGTCTCTCCTTTATTTCCTGGTGGTGTCTCATCCAAATACTAAACAGGCAAAATTTCATTTAGCTGTTTGAGATCAGACAAGGTCAATTGCTTTTACCTAGCTTGGTCTACTCTAAAAGTGTAGGTTTTTTTAAAAAAAAAACCTAGAAGTCTTACTAATTGTAAGTAAGTACCACTACTGGTTTAGCAATCAGAATTGGCTGCAAGAACAAAAAGATAATGTAAGAAAATTCTAAATGGAGGGAATCAAAATAAGTCTTCCTAATAGCAATTGTATTGTTCATAATCTATTTTATCACAAAAGGACAGAAATGTCTGCTGTTGTGTTCTTTGTCCTAATCTTTGTTATCTGGAGGTACCTATCCACTAAGAACAGCCAGATACAGTACTCAACTATGAATTCCCAATTTTAGCTCCAACAGGTTCCTCATATAGGGAAATAATGTTATAATATAATAATACAATACAATACAATACAATACAATTAATATTGCTAACTAACTGCTTTTGCCTCAATGCTTAATAATGTGAGGATTTTTATGAGTTCATTGAACTAAAGTGATATGGTTTGGTGTCACATGCTTCAATAGTTACTTCAGAATGAAAATGTGAAGAGGAACATGTGAAAGTCGTATTATTTCCTGACAGGCTTTTCTTGTTTGGCTGGCTCTTTTTATGTTCCCACCCTTGCCAATCACAGTAAAATCCAATGCAATTTTTTAAAAAAATGAACCTAACATTAAAGCAGTCAGAAACAAAAGCAAAAACTATGGGTATGGTTGAGTAGAGCCAGCCCTGAAATAGTGGGTCGATTGTGTTACAGAAATAGAAGCTGAAAGTTATTATAAAACACTTTGTCTCTAGCAGTAGGAAACAGGGACAGATGTTCAGAAGAGTGGAAGAATCAATTTTGTTCTCTTTCTAATTTGTATGGTAATGAAAGCTATGGTGTTCTAAAACAAAAAGTGGTATGTTTTAACATTTTCTCTTTGGCTTGCTCAACTTGGAACTTTTTTTCGAGTTCACTTGTTAGAAAGATTCATCTTAAGAAGTTACTGTCAAAGATGGAAACCAAATTATATAATATTTGGAGAACTTCCTTACAAAAACACTTTGTGTTATAAATACTTTGTATTTCTCACCTCAAAGCCAACCATCAAGAAGAGACACTTTCTTTGGTATAAAGGAGATGAGCGACAGGGATGAAAAACAGCAGTTCACTTTAAGCTAATGATATAAACTGAGATAAGCTTCCTGAGATAAGCAGAAATAATACTTCTAATCCTAAATCTCTCTTATAAGTTTATTGTGTTTTGTAATAACCAAATTAATGAATTCCATCAGCCTTTCTTAGCTTGGTATCCTCTATTTTTCTTTCTTTCAACAAACCTGCAATCCCTTGCATTGGGGTGAAGTTGGATGACTGAACAGAGCTCGAATGTTTACTAGCCGAATGCCTTTCCTGATGCCTATGTTGAGTTCACAGCAGAAAGTTACTCATTGCACCCAGATAGAGAAACATCTGCCGCTACCTAGGATCAAATTAACTGCCTCCTGATTGTGAGGCATTCTAGGTTACCATACTGCTTTAATCCAGCATAATGCACTAAACTTAAAATTAAATCACTCTCTCTCAGTCCAATCCATCTCACAGAGTTGTTGTGGGGAAAATAGGAGGAGGGAGGTGTATTGCAGTGGTGGCGAACCTATGGCACGGGTGCCAGAGGCGGCACTCAAAGCCCTCTCTGTGGGCACGCGCACCGTCGCCCCAGTCCTAGGCTTTCAGCTAGGTTTTATACAACCTTTTCGCTTTAGGCCTCCGCCGCCATGTGCAAAAAAAAAAAAAAGTTCAGTCAATTTCAACTTCTCGCGGGAAAAAAAAGATCTTGCAAAGTTGGAATTGATTGATTGAACTTTTTAGTCCCACCCAGTCTGCCATTACCACCATAGCCACACCCACCCAATGGGCCATACCCATACAATTGGCCACACCCGGCCAATGGGTCATACCCACCCGGCACTCGACGATGCATAAGTGGGTTTTGGGTTGCAGTTTGGGCACTCAGTCTCTAAAAGGTTCGCTATTACTGGTGTATTGGATATGTTTGCCACCTTGAGTTGCCTGTAAAAATAATAAAGGTGGGATAGAACTAAATACATTGTTTACTTAGATTTCTTCTAAGTAAACAAACTGACTGAAATTAGAAGCAGGTCTTTTTGGCTACACCCAGCCAGGTAACTAACCCTAACCTTCTTTGACTGATTTTGACAATTTAAACAGGGTTATACTTAGAAAGGAGACCACAAGGAAATCCCAAGTCTAAACGTTAGACTGGAAAATTGAACCAATCACTAAAGGTAATGATAAACTATGATTGTATTATTTCCTTCAAAGTAACATGGATGTGCCTGTAACATCACAAGAAATCAGGTTTTCGCCTTTATCAGTGAACAAATATATACGACAACTTTAATAAGAACGTCCTGTTCCTTTCCTTGTATTAAATTAATTGAGTTTCCAGAACTAATCTTTACATATGATCAGAACTGTATATTTTTTTCAGTGAGCTTATATTCCAAATCTTCCCTGGATGGCAGGGGAGTGGACAGAGGATACTTTCAAAGTAATATAAAATATTACTTTCAAATAATATAAAAAAATCCTTAAGAGGAGAATTCTAAGGTTCTGTATGCTGCCTTTACTCCTACTGTACCCCCATAATAAAACTTTCTAGAATTTCCTAGGTCCCTTATATTTTTTGTCCCAGCTCACTGTTACATAGCTTTTTTTTCTTTTCTTTTTTTTTTAAAAAATAGATTTGAAGTTGCTGTTTCGTACATTGGCTTTTCCCAACTTAGCTGATTTTTAATACTTGGACTACAGTCCCCATTATCCCCGGTTTTGTTTTTCTTTCTGTTTTTCTTTTTGTTCTCATTGCTTAATTTTTTGCTTATCATACATTTGGTTTTAAATTATGATTAAGAATACAAAAGAAATAAAAACAGAAACATTTGTTCTGAACAGTTTTGAATAGGATTGCCTGTTCGTGTATAATGATCAGACTGGGGCCATTAATTTTTGCATTCTTTTGCACAAAGGGTTCTTTTTATTCCTTCCATCCCAAATAAAGTCAAAGGACTGGTCTTTCATGACCCCTTTTCTTTTTTCTTCTTTCTCTGCCCCATTTTTATTTCTCAGATTCTGGATAAGATAAGGATAAGGAAAAGCCAGTTTGGTCTAGTAGTTAAGGCAACAAGCCAGAAAGCAGGAGTCCACGAGTTCAAGCCCAACCTTAGCTATGAAAGTCAGCTGGGTGACTTTGGGCCAGTCACTCTCTCTTAGCCTAACACACCTAACAGGTGTATGGATACTCTGTCACCTTGATTTATTTATAAAAATAATAAAAACGGATACAAAATAAATAAATACAGGAAAGGATAAGGAAAAAAGAGGGAGATGACCCTCTTCTTAGCAATGTGATCTTCTCTGTTTTAGGAAGGAGAAGTTTGGAATCCCTCAGCATCCTGGTCACCACAGAATGGGAAACACAAATAGTGCTAAACCGTGAGTTGGCTCTTTATTTTCCAAAGAAAAATATTTGGCGGAATAATACTGAAAGAATTAATGTAATAACTTGATCTAACTTTTCTCATAATCTTCACCATGACCAATTCCAGTTTGTTGTATTAGAATATTGGTAAATATTGTAACTTAGTAACAACAAATTATAGATATTTTTTTTAAAAAAATGGTTGAGTACCATGAAATTAAGATTCTGTGATATTTTGTTATTTATTTATTTATTGACAGAAACTATGCTATTTGAGTCAAATTTTGCTATTTATTTGTTTGTTTTTATCAAAACGTTTCCAGTTATTTCAGAATTCATTGCAACTTTTGTATTTTTCTGCTGATTATTTAGTATTACTGTGTTTTTATTTACTCTTGCGATTGATTTGCAGTTCTGTGAGAAATTGATGTAGTCTAAAAACTTTAAATAATATGTAAGCCTTTTCTAGAATAAATGACAGCTTTAAGAATTCAGATCAACTAAAAGAGAAACTAGAAACAGAAATCAGTGGTATCTAAGTCCACCTATTATTTATTTATCACTTAACTCTGATTATCAGTTCACTTTTCCCTTTATCAAACACTAAGCATGTTTACTTTTGATGAGTCATTTTCTCAAACAAAAATAATAGAAAGGTAGTCATATCACTTAGTTTCCATTTTTCCACTTAATCCATAAAAGCGAACATTGCAAAGCTGACTTTCCCACCATGAAAAAAACCGGTTTCCACAAAGGGTTATGACAAATAGCTATGCAAAATTATAAAAATAAGCCAAAATACCAGGGCTTTTTTTCTCATAGAACGCCCAGAACGGAGTTCCGGCATCTTTTTTGGATGGAACCCTGTAGGGTAGGCAAGGCGGGTTGTATGACGTGTGTGAGTTCCGGCACCTTTTTTTTTTTTAGAAAAAAAGCACTGCAAAATACTATGTACTAGTGCAATTGTTTTGGAGTAAGGAAAGCAGTCTTTTCACTTTCACCCCCTGGAGGCAAAAAAGAGATCACAGACCAGTGTAAAGCCGATAGCAGAAGACTGAAATAACAGATGGTATTGTAGGGTCCACATACAAAGTAGATGGAGTCACTGATTTTCTTCATTTGATATTCCCTTTTTCTTTTCTTTTTAATCTTTCATCCTCCTTTTCCTCCTCCTCCTCCTCCTCCTTCTCCTCCTCCTCCTCCTCCATTCTCCAGATGAAGGATGGGTTTAGTACGAGACTCTGACCTGGGAAAATAACAATCAGATTTAATTTCTATGAACTATCTATGCACTTGGGCTGCAGACAATGATATAGTTTGGTCATTTTAACGCTGGACTTCACTTCCCATTTCAGATTATGATGCTCATCCTTCAAGGTGAAGCTTCTGGATTTCTGAACAGCATTCTGGTCCTACAGTAACACATGAAGCTAAGCTAGAGCTTCCCACAGTTTGATTCAGTTCTTTCTCTTTGCTTCTTTCAGGCCGATCTCATCAACAGTCCCTACACCAAAGTCTGTAGGAGGTATGATCCAGGACCTTCAGGAAGACATCAAATGTTCCATCTGTTTGGAGTCTTTCATTAATCCTGTCTCCATAGATTGTGGGCATAATTTCTGTCAAGACTGTCTGTTTATCCACTTGAATAATTCTCCACAGTCTGAGTACAATTGCCCTGAATGCCGCCATCTCTGCCGCCCTGAACGCATGAAACCAGATGCACGGCTGAAGAGTTTGGTGGAAAAAATTTCACATTTTCCTCACCTGGAAGAGGTCAACAAGGTGAGATTGCATCTAGGTAGAACTAGGAAGACTTTACTGCATTGTATGTCAGGTGCAAGAAATCACAAACCAGGATAGAGTTCAAAAGTACTACAAGTTTATTTCATATTATCTAAATACAAGTATCTGATCTACTAATGGTAAAGACAAATTGGTTCCAGATAAGAATTAATGGACTTTAAGGGGAGACTTAGGTCTCTTACAGGGTATGGTGACTTCAAACTGATGATGCATTTGACCCCTCCCTTGTCTCAACCTGGTCATCTCCTACATTGCAGATAGATAGATAGATAGATAGATAGATAGATAGATAGATAGATAGATAGATAGATAGATAGATAGATAGATAGATAGATGATAGATAGATAGATAGATAGATAGATAGATAGATAGATAGATGATAGATAGATAGATAGATAGATAGATAGATAGATAGATGATAGATAGATAGATAGATAGATAGATAGATAGATAGATAGATAGATAGATGATAGATAGATAGATAGATAGATTTGAAGTTGTTTCAATAAACAGATGAATACAGAAAAAAACAGTCTTGCAGATGACCAGATTCAGAGCCACACAGGACCATAAAGGTGACAACCACAACCTTCAGCTACATCTGTAAGACAAGGTACAACCAGTTCAGCTCTCAAAGCTGGGTGGACATCCAAGTATAACATGAATCATTCATGATATCTCAGGGCTGCCACATTTTATTTTTTATTTTTTATTTATATTTGGATTTATATCCCGCCCTTCTCCCGTAGGACTCAGGGCGGCATTAGCTTCCAAATGCTTTACAGGTGCAATCAAGTGTAGATCATGTTATAGTTATCCAGACAAGAGATGACATGGATGAATGGGAGCAAGACTTCCAACCCAAGAATGGCTAAATTAGTGTACCAGATGTAAATATTCAAAAGTCCACCTGTCTGCAGCTATCACCTATCTGAAGAAGAGTTATAAGTCAAGAAGGATCCCATATTGTGAGCCATTTTGAATAAGGGAATACAACTCTCTACAGAATTACTGGATCAGCACTTCCATTATTTGGTGTAAGATTATGATATTATTACTGTTGATACCTGACTATGGTGGTGGATGACACTTCCAATGGTTTCACATAAATGTCAAAATCACCTGGGCCACTCCACAAAATAGAGGTCTCTGAGCAAAGCTGTCCTTTCCTCTCTTGATGAGAACCATTCCCTACGAAGAGAAAGAACTATTGAAAGACAATATATCAATGAAAACTGACTTCATTTCGCACTCCAAGTTATATAGTCCCCTTCCCAAAAAGCTCACAAACAGCACATTCCCTACCACTTCTGTCAATCTGGCATGGCCATCACAATTGAGCTGCCCTAGTTTCTTCTATCTTGGCTCTCTTGACTCTGGCTGAGTAGCCATGAAAGTTGTACACAGCTTGTTTTGAGCTAGTTGTCTTCCTTTTCAGAAAATGCCAACAGCTTCAGTGGTATTGGGGAAGCCAGTTCAGCTGGTAGGTTTGGATGAAAATGGGGATCTTTACTTGGATGCGGAGGCCCTGAGTACCTGCTTAGAGCAGGAAGAGGTGAAAGATACTCCTGTCTGCTTAATTTCCATCATTGGGGAACAGCGACAGGGCAAATCCTTCTTGCTCAATTTCCTCCTGCGGAGATTTAAAAATCTGGTAAGTTTGAGAATATTTATTTTCTTGGTGTTTTAAAATGATTTGGATTGGATGATACTCCTCCTATCATCTTACAGTGTTGTGTTAATTTTATTCAAGAAATCAAGCATGTAAAATGAGTTTATATGCATTGCATTTTGCACATTTTTTCAACTTTCTAAAGAATATGAGAAGAAGGAGAAATAAATAAGGCATACTACATTCCTTGTCTGAAAAAGCAAATGTAACAGCTTAATAAAGGAATATAATCACTGAAGGTAGCCTAGTATTTCATATCTCATGGTATCTCACTGGTGGAGTACAAATGCTTCTTAAGGAGTTTCTAAACTCCCAGGAGATTTATACCATAAATAAATCACAAAAAATTATTAAAGAATAAATAATAAAAAAGTAACAGTAAAATAATAACATGCATTTCACCAAAAAGCAAATCGATGAACTTTGCAGAAATAAGGAGAAAAATAGAGAAAGTTGCTTGCCCAAGAAATGTTTTGATATATTGGAAAATGTATGTTATTTGACTAACCATGCTATTGAAGCAGCTACATGTTTCCTGTCTCATTTATTTATTCCTTGCTGGCAGGCTGTTACAGATGACTCTTGGATGGGTCAAGAAGATGAGCCATTGACAGGTTTTGAATGGCATCCAGGAACTAAGAGCATCACAAAAGGGATCTGGATATGGAATCAGCCATTTTTGGTCTCTGATGAAAATGGAAAGGTAAAAGTTTGAGAATTCAATCCAAGAAGTAATTTCCCTCTTCTTTCTGCCTTTTGTCTTCTTCTTTGTAGCCCCTGTGCCAGATTTTTCAACAATTTTCTGAATTTAATGCATTTCTCACCTCCTACATATCACACCAGTTCCCAAACTAGAGTTTATTAATGCTACCCAGAAGGTTGATAGTATGATAGAAAACATAGATCTTGCCATAAACAATGTTGCTTGGCCAAGCTGGAGGTTGATCTAATTGAGTTGTCTGTATGATTGATTGATGGATGGATGGATTGATTGTTTGATTGATTGACATCATCAATGTTGACTTGTCTTGGCAACCAAATAGATACTGGTCTTCAAAATGATCTGTCCCTAACCTGGTGCTTCATATCTTCCAATGTGCTCATATCATTGTTGTAATTGTATCTATCCACCTTGCTGTTGAGTGTCCTCTTCTCTTTCCTTCCACTTTTCCCATCATTAAAGACTTCTATAGAGAGTTAGTGGTTCATATAATGTGTACGAAGTCATATCTGGTCATTTGTGCTTCAAATGAGAACACTGGATTAATTTGTGTTATATTCCATTTGTTTTCTTGCTTGTCCATGGTACTTTCAGGAGTTTCCTCCAGCACCAAATTTCAAAAGCATAATGGAGAACTAAGACACTAAACAGCATGCTGAAGCTTGTATTTAAAAAGAAAAAAATCTGTTCAGCACAGGAAATGTAGATTCTAAAAGGCAGCAGATTTACCAATTATGTAGAATTTGTGTTTGCCACAATGTGGGGAGAGGAAAGAGTGTTTTGAAAGTAGAAACTTGCTTTTTTACAGCCACATGTAATAGCTGCTGTACTCAGCTATATTTTATGTGATTCTTGCCACTTCCTAACTATTTTCCTTTCTTGCCTTGTTTTGGTTGCATCTCTTATCAAACTTAGATGAATCAATGGACCAGGTGCTGGCTGGACCCTACTAGCCTATCTTTTCCATTATAAAGTGATTAATTTCCTATACTTCGGTCATGATGGTGTGGACTGTTTTCAGTAGTTTTATCTCTGGGGGTTTTATTCTGTTTATCATCATTTTGATTTTTTAAAACATCAGGAATGTTGGGAACTGTAGTTCAACCAGGACAGAAATCTAAAAGATTTACCATCTCTGCTAAGAGCATTTAATATACTTTAGAAATGAATTCTGTAGCTATGTACAGAAAACATTCCTAAGATGATTATTGAATAATCCACATTGCACAATTTATTGAATCAGAAACCAGATGAAAAGGGTGAATTCACACTATATGTATCCACTTATTTCTCTTCTCCATTCCATCTTCAGGTAGCTTTGTTCTTGATTGACACCGAAGGCTCAATGGATATAGAGAGAAGCAAGGACAATGGTGTCAAGTTTTCAGCTTTCTCTATGCTGCTTAGCTCCTATCAGGTGGAGTTCTAGGAACCAAATTACCTTTTTTTCCTCTAGACTGTAAAAATAACTTACTTACCCCATTTTTGTTGTGTTTCTTAATTGTCTTTTAGATTCTCAATTTATCCCACAGACTGAAGGACCCAGACCTGGAATACATGGAAGTGAGTTGGGCTCTAAATATTAAAAAAGTGTGGTCCTTGTCCCAGGGAGACAATGCAATATTACCAGGCAGAGGTGATATAAAAAGAAAGTTCTCTCAATATAGTTAAAAGAAGGGGACATAAACTAAAGTCCAGACTTCTGGTGTCCTTTGATTCCTTTAATTCAGGCAACCAAATTGGAAAGATCCTAAACTATTTTACCTAGTTACCTTGACTCAGATGCAAGAATCTGCCAGCTGTGGTACTCAAACAGTCCAAATCAGTTTCAGTATACTACAAGTACAGAATCAATGCTTGCAAGAGACTCCATAAGTAGTAGGGTTATGCAGTACTTACAGATGCTGCAGTACTTCAGATGCTGCAGTACTTACAGAAGATGCTGAGGAGGATGAAAAAAAAGTAAATGTAATACCCTTTAAAGCACCTGTATCTTTTTCCAGGATATTTGGCAGCTACAGAAAAGCCAAGTTAAAATAAGAAAATATGTGGCTGTTTTAAGACTTTTGATAGGTGCTATGATCATACTCCAAAGCATCTTTTCCAAATTGTTTCCAAAGTATTGCCAAGTCTCATTCTGGAGTAAATATTAACAGGAATGTCAAATGATGCAAGAAAATCCATTTCAGTTGGATGATTAGGCATATTGATATGCCAGGGCAAACTGATCTCAAGAAGCTGTCAAGATTGATTTGCCTTTTCACCTACATTTTCTCCCTCGCTCATAGCTTGACAAAAAAAACAAGGTAGAGATTGTGGAATGGAATGCAAAAGTGGGAGGGAAGGTATCTAGGCAACTGAGGCATCTTTGAGAGCCTGCAAGAATACCAAGGTCACTAACGCAGGTGCTCAATGGAGAAGTGGACTGAAGAAGTATTACTGTTGTACCATGTGAACCACCCAGTGGGTAGGGGTGAGGGAATCTATTGTTTAACTAAGCAAGCTTTCTGTGGGAAAACCAGAGCTGGTTTCGCTTCTTCTGTGCCAATGTAAATTTTCAGTAAAGTATTATACTCTTGGATAAAATCATGTCCCAGGAGTTTCTTTTTCTGAAAATGCCAACTGGACAGTTGACAACAGCTTGATTAATCTTTGTCCCAATGAAAAAACATGGGTACCTAATAGTTATCAGATCCCTATCACTGCTGCACCAGTGTGTGTATATGTGACCTACTGTCTTTTCCATTTCCTATAATCTACAATGAAGATATCAAAACAAATAGTTCAGGAAAACCAGTAAGGAAATTTTCAGTTTTACATGGTTGACTCAGCCATGAATGCAACCACTGAACAAAGGCTAGATCCCCACATCATATTGGTCTTAGATACCAAATTAACTCATTATCTGAATCTGCACATTCATTGAATCATTAACTTACCTCTGATGCTTGGCTCATGCAATTCGCTATGCCACAAGAAACACTCTAATTTTACAAGTAATTACCGTAAATTTAGCATGTTGTACAAATGCAACTAAAAATTCTTTAATTGATCTGAATAAATTGATTGTCTCAATAACATTAAAAATATTAAATGGAAAACTAACAATGCTTTGTCTTTGTATAAAAGCAAAAGGTTAAGTAGTTTAAAGTGACTATTACATTTTAAATGGGGGGGAAGAGATATACCCCCCACCAGCTTACATACAGTACTGTACTTAAGTCTACTGTCCTGAATTCTCTGGAATCGGTCACTCCCAAAGTCATATCTACCCAAAATGAGAAAAAAAGGACACCAAGTGTTCGTACAGTTTCCTTTAGTGACAATACAGTATTATCAGCCCTACCTATTCTGATCTTTGCATAAGATAAATGTGTAAATTTAAGTAGGTATTATTCTTGTCTTACCATAATAATAACACCATCGAACAACAAAATCTGCTTATCCCTTGTCCTTGGGAAGGATTCAATATTTGGATAAAAATGTCGAATCCAATTTAAACATCTGGCTCGCTGTGCAATGAACCATTATAATATCAAAAATATAATTTTTATGTGCAGGTTTATCTTTCCTGTCATCAGACACCCAAGGTGGCCAACAGTAAAAACAATAACTCACAATCACAAAATGAGAGAGGTCCTCACTTATTTCCTAAATCACGTTTTAGTTCTTCATCTCTGCTGCTGAGTGAACAGACAATAAGCTCGGGTGAAATTAAGTTGCCTGGTTTCATAGTCACCCACTTCTTTTATCCCACAGATGTTTTTATACATAGCAAAGACTGTGGGCCATCAATTCAAGCTGAAGCCTGTTCAGGTAAGAAGCCCCATCTTTTCCTTCTTTCTTTTTACATTCATGTCATGTATATATTTTTTTCCTCTTCCATTGTTATCATTCCCTCAGAACTGTTGCCCTTGCACTTGGTCAAAGAGGCTCTTTGTTCCTGAATTCCTCTTCACAGCAAACGCCTCTTCCTCTCTGTTTTTTTTCTGCCTGGTACTCGCATCTCTCTTTCCTTTTCTTTCACTGTGAATATTAATGAACTTTTTCACCCACTGCTATTTGAAAATGCATTATTTATCTTTATAATGCATCCATTTTTCATCTCTAGAAAGGACAATAATTTCTTTTCTTTTTTTACAAAAAGTCCAAAATTAGATAGACCACAATATTCCCACCATATCCATAAAAAAGGGGTTAGTTAAGTAGGATGGCTTATTTTTCCCAAGTAAACACCCTTACTATCCTGTTGCTTTAAGAAAGTTTCTCTCTGCCTGGTTTGAATGCCAGAAGCTAACCAGGTAGTAAGAAAGTTCTACAACAAAATGAGGTTTAATGGGGTACCTTCATGCTCTTTCTCTTTAAAAAAAAATATGCAAAAAGTTAAAATACAAATTCCAAAAAAAAAACAAAACAAGTATGCTCTTCATGCTTTTTCACATCCAAAGCACAAATAGACAATCTGCTGTGGTATATGAGGTTTCAAGTTCCATCTTACAGAAATAAGAAACTCTGTTCAGGATTATAATTTTTCCCAATAGGTATTGTAAGCCATTAAAAGTCCCAAAGTCATATCTACCCAAAATGAGAAAAAAAGGACACCAAGTGTTAGTATTATCAGCCCTATCTATTCTGATCTTTGCAAACTGAAAAAGTGGAGGGAGAGTGTTATAAAGAAACAAGAACAATCGAATAGCAATATGAATGTAAGGGGAGGCACTGCTTTATTTTCACTATAATTATGATATGCTGGGGTAAATGGTTTTAAAAAAATGAAAACCAATATTTAAAAGTAGGACTAGCCTCAAAGGGAGCTACAGTCCGAACTATACTTCGGCAGAGAACTCACATGATTCTTTTCCTTATTCTCTCCTGTCCTCTACAAGTGATAAGACAGCTTTGCTCCCCCTCAGCTTCATAGACTGGGAATAGAAGGAAGGATAAGTAAATAAACTGAGGGGCCTTGCAGAATAAGAAAGGATCTGATAAAGGAGGAATTTCCTTAGAAGATAGGACCCATCATCCAGGGTCTTTTTCTAATAGGGAAGGATTCTACTTCCAAATGGTATGCATCACTCTCCCTGTTTTAGCGGCATTGATGGATATGCCAAATGGCAGGAGAAGGTGGTGAAACTGAAAATATCTCCTGTGGCTCTTTGTAATGGTTGAATCAGCCCTGTAAATTTATTGCCATATGTACAATTTACTTTCTAACTCACCTTTACTACCATGCAGAGTAAGTTTATTTTTCCATGCATCCAGTGGACATGTAGTGGGACCACAATAAGAGGGAGGAAAGGCAAATGCAGAATCCTGCAGCTTCTCTTGTTTTTTTGTTGCAGCATCTTGATGTCTTGGTTCGTGACTGGTTCTACCCCCCCACCTATGGATTCCAGGGGGGACAAGATTATCTCCAGGACACTATTCAGGTAAGCCTGTTGTAGAAATTATAGAAAGATATCCTGAGTTGATAATGAAGAGATTCCGTAGGAATCCATCTCCCCTCTAAAGCAGAGAAACAGAGTGTTACAATAGTTGCATCTTCTCCCTTCTATTTGTCCATTTAACCTCAGAAGCTGGAGGGTCAACCCAACCGGCATCCACGAGCCCTGCAAACATTCAAAAGCACCGACACTTCTTGTTACCTGATGCCCTTCCCTGGCAAGACATTGGTGATGGGAAATGAAGGCACCATAGCAGGCAAGAAGCTCTTTCTTTCAATTATACCTTCTTCATGTTCCTCCCACAAGTCTATGCATCCAGCATTTGTATGAACTGTAGAAAAGAGTAAACACAATTACTTCATTCTGTTGCAAGGAGGAACATCAATTCCATAACTCCTTTCTGATGATCAGTGTTGGAGTTTAATAATAATTAGATCAATTCATTCTATGGCTTGAAATGGAACTATGAATCTTAGTTTTGTTAATTGGAACTGAGATGGGGGAAACAAAGCAGGGAATTGGTTTTTTCCCTCTTATTATGGTTTAAAAATTGCTCTGAATTCAAAAGGCAATGTAAAATAACTGTAGTGAAGCCAATAAGATTATCCACTGTGCCGGAGTATTCTTTATGAAATAATTTTTTATCCTACAAATAATTTTGGTGACCAAAATTCACCAAAATCTTCGCATTGTCCTATTTTATCTGTCTTGCTGCTAGCAAAATATGCCTTTTCTTCCACATCCCTTCTTTAGTCCTGCTCACTATTGATATTATCGACTTTGTAATCCCTTTGCTGCATTCATTTCCTCCAAACCTATATGATTACTTAAACATGCACAAAGCTTAAGTCTTGAAGATGTAAATAATATTCTAAAATCAATTTTATTTGTCCCACCACCAGAATCCACACACACTGCATATAGACAAACATAGAAACTGTTTTTAGGTAGGATTGTTCCCTTTTAAGGCCAAATACAACACTCTTTTGCATTCTGGAGTCTTGGACTAAATCAGGTTGCATTCAGATATTTTCAACTATGATCTCCAGAAAGGGTAAAAAAAATATATGTGTGTTCGCCAGAACAGTTGAATTGTTTCTTGCAGGTATGGATGAGGATTTTAGAGAATTCCTGAAGGATTATGGGAATCATGTTGCCAGATCAGCTGGAATGCATGTACAGAGAAATCAGGAGAGCAAACCTCTCACCGGGACAGAACTTGCTGATAAGATAAAGGTGAGAGTTATGGGAATCAAATGACGTAAGCAACCTACGCCTTTGAATTTGTGTTTGGCATATAGAGATTTCTATTATATCCAAAAGAGATCAATTTCTTGAGCTATTTCTCAATGTTAGGAACTTTAAGATGTGTGGACTTCAAGTTCCAGAATTCCCTAATTCCCTAACTACTATCTACCAAACATCAATGTCTTCTTACATTATCTATTCTGACTCTTTTCCCGTCTCTGAGATTTCTAGTTTTTCTTCTGTGTTGTCACTTTTAACAGCCAGCAGATGGAGCAGTTTCACTTTTCTAAGTTGTCCTTTTCCTTGCTGTGCTTCTTTACATTTGTTCTCAGAACTGGCCACTCTTTCCAAAGGAAAAACAACTTCTCTTTTTGCTGCTGATGGAGGCATAGCTGTAAAAACATACATCTCCTCTCCTCCCTCTCACACCTGTGTCAAGGTTGCTGCTTTATTGGCAACTCTGCTATGCTGGTGCTGGAGGAAATGAGAGGGAATGAGTTAGAGTTATCTCAAGCAGCCAATCTTTGTGAGATGCCCTATTCTGGATAGATGAAAAATGGTTATATGAGGGAGGACCCTGGAATCTGCAGTTTGGACTTAAAATTGTATGTGTAAATTGACAAGCAAACAGGAAAAGTCCAGCACTGCCTGTTCAAAACATGATTTCATAGAAACTCAGAGTCAAAATCCCTGCTCAGTTTAAAAATCCAATTAAAAACATCCAGAGAAATGATTGTTGAAATACCACTTGAACACATTAAGCAAAGGGTAATTTAATTCCATTGTTGCTTGGCTCTGTAGCCAGTGGACATAGCTACCACATCAAGCTGGTAGTTCTGAATCTCATGAGGAGTGTTAGTGCCCATAGTTTTTGGTGTGGCTTGGTTTGAGACTTGTTACTACCGACTCAGAGGAAAGGAACACGGTTGCCTCCCTTCTTTCATCCAGTTGTTAATGGGAGGAATTGCATGATATGCTTTGGCTTGACATGGCACACTGATGCAATTGATGTTCGCTCATAGTTTGTCCAAATTAACACACGCCTAATGAGATCTTATGTTATCATAATGAGAGTATGATAACACCCTGCCCACCCCCCACCCTGCCTTAGCACATTTGTGAATATTTAGTGAGTTGATATATGTATTCCTTGCCTGTGTATGTGTGTATGCATGTGTGTGTGTTAAAAAAAATTCCTCACCTTGTACTCACTCTTGGGTTTTCTACCAGGGGCCTTGGAGTTTGAAGGTTATGAGTAAGATCTTAGTTGTTCCTAGCATTGTACTTAATTGGACAGAGAGCTATGTTGGAGCCATTGTCCCAGCTTAGGAGTCACAACTCCACATACTGTTATTACTACAATATGCGCTTTGGCCTTTACTTTCCACATTCTCTCTAGTTCCTTCTTCAGGCCCTCATCCTTATCTACTATCACAATACTAGTAGTGGTACTACCTACTTGTGGTAATATATACTTTTATTAAAGATTTCTATATATCTAAAACATAAACATGAAAACATAAAATGGAGTGATGAGAAAAAAGAAAAATGTGCAAAGTACAATATAGGCAGAAAGAGAAAAAACAAAAACACAATTAAAGAAATGACTTCTAATCTTCTTTACATCATGTATAAAAAAAACTTCTAACCCTGTTTCCTAGTCCGAGCCTTTGGTCCATTTCAATGCCTTTATGCTTTTGATATTTTTATTGCAATTGTTGTGTTAATCATTAACTTTTAAGTTCTAACCATCTCAGAAAAAGCATCATTTAATCCAAAATTCTATGTGAAAAGAGTGTGTCATATATTGGGGAAAATACTGTGCGTGTCTGTTTCTGTGTTTTGATCTGTCAATAGAAATCTCTGTGCAGGTGGGTTATAAGTTGATTGTCTACATGCTGTATTTGGAGATATTCTGAATAGACATGTATTTGTTAATCTACTTTCACATGTTGAGCCCTCCTTTTTTTAAATTTCTTTTAGGATTTGACAGAACTCATGAAACAATATCACACTGGTTTTTCCTCACCCGTAGAGGTACTGACTTTCCCATTTTCCTTCTGTATCCTTTTTTAAAAAGGAAAATGTCCCTCAGAGCAAGCTCCACATTCTGGGCAGCTATGTAGAAATCATTTGCTTTTACCCTTTTCTGTTTCATTTTGTTTTAATCTTAGCTTATCTTACAATTCTAATACTGACTGATGGGTTCCCAACAAGGAATTAATGGGGCCTGATAAACATAATGGGGCATGAAGAAGAAAACCAAAAAAATCTTGCTGAAGCTAAATTGGGTTGGGCCTAGTTAGTGTTTGGATGGAAGAACATCCATTTGTTGAATTCTGTAGAGGTGGAAGATGGGATGAGACTAACATAAATAGCTTGTTAGATATGGCTTTGAAGAACCATAGCAGGAAATCCAATTTCTGAGAGTGATGGATTAACCAGTGGAACAGCTTGCCTTCAGAAGTTGTGGATGTTTCATCACTGGAGATTTTTAAGAAGAGACTGAACAGCCACTTGTCTCAAATTTGTAGGGTCTCTTGCTTGAGCAGGGGCTTAGACTAAATGACCTACAAGATACTTTCCAGCTCTATTCTGATTGATTGGATTCTGCAGTTGTAACCATTTCCATTAAAAAGGAGCAGTTATAAATCTAAATAGCTGACTTCGGTGAACCTGATGCATACATCCAACTTTATACTTCTCTCTTTATTCCTTTCCTTGTCTCCTCTGGGATGTAAGGGAACTCAATGAAAGATTAAAAAATTTTGTAGCCACATCTGCTAACCTTTCCTTTTTCTTTCTGCTCAGATGGCCTATACCTTCAACCAGAACAACAATAAAATGTTCCAGAAGAAATTTAAAAAGTTCATTCAAAAGCAGGTAGGTCAAGAGGAAGAGACCAGTTTTATTATAGTTTTTAATTTTTTAAAAGGCAAAAAAATGAGGATTTTGAAGAAGCAAATATTTAGAATGTGTTAGAGATGGAACAGATTTCTATGGTTTATTTAATTTAAATTGGAATGTGGGGAAGGGCAAAGGATTGACATTTGGTCAGAGTATGGTTGACTAGAATCAGAAGTGTAATATAAACCAAAAGGCTGCACTTTGAAAGTTCAAGTACAAATAGTTCTTCATTTACAACTACTTCAGGGACTGAAATTATGGTTGCTAAGTGTGTGGTCATTAGGTAAGTTATCGCGTGGCCAGACCCAATTTTACAAACAATTTTTCCACAGTTGTAAAGTAAATCACCACAATTAAGCAAAGTTGTTTCCCCCATTGACTTTGTTGGAAACTAGCTAGGATACTGCAACTGTCATAAATGTGAGCTGGTTACCGAGCACACAAATCATGATCACTTAACTTCAAGGACAAATTGTTAATCACTTTTTTCAATCCTGATGTAACTCTAAACTGTCATTAAATGAATGATCATAAATTGAGGACTACCTATAGTGGTGTTGGTCAGTATTTAAATGCAGAAAAAGTAAATAAAATGATTTTTGTTTGACATTATATGAGGATGGACTTAAGGCTGGGTGAAATGTGCTCCACAAATGAAAACTTTGAGATAGATCAAGAGTAAAGCCTCTTGTGTTTTGAATTGAGCCCTGGTGGTGCAGTGGTTAGAATACAGTATTGCAGATTGATTCTGCCCACAGCCTGGAATTTGATTCTGACAGGCCTCGAGGTTGACTCAGCCTTCCATCCTTCTGAGGTCAGTAAAATGAGGACCCAAAGTCTTGGGGGCAATATGCTGTCATTGTAAACCTCTCAGAGAGTATTGGAAAATACTATGGAGTGATATATAAGTCTAAGGGCTATTGCTATTGCTAGATCCAGAAAACAAGTTAAAATATTTTGGCAGCTCCACACACAGGTATGGGTTCTTTCTGTCACCTTAATTGACTACAAAAGGCCATTGGAAATACCCAAAGGTGCTTTGTCAAGAGGCAACTGGACTTCCTTGTTTTTCTTTGAAGACATTTCGCTTCTCATCCAAGAAGCTTCTTCAGCAATGACTGGATGGTAGGGAATGGAAGGATTTATATCTTGAAAAAAACATCTTTGGGACAACCATGACCTGAATGACTGAGAATCTCCATAGACATTTAGCTATTGGGAATATAAAATGGAGAATATAAAATCTGGTGTCTTAGACACAAGGGCAGATTAAATATATGATAAACAGTGGAATAATAGGAAGTGACATTATTATGAATAATGAGGTGATTAATATTTACAGTCTTCTCCCTTTTCCACATCTGTTTCTATAACCTACCACCCTTTTGTCCAATCTTAGGAAAAATTCTCACGCTCAGTGTGGGCAAGCCTACGAGTGCCCCCAAATTCGATGACTAGGCGCTTAAAGGAGAAGCAAGAGAAGCTGCTCCAACAGTTCCGAGATTCATTTCAGGGTGACGAGCCACATCGGACCGAATTTTTATTATGTCTGGAGTCATACCTCAAGTGTGAAGCTAATGATTTCATGGAAGATTACAACCGTCGTTTCAAATCCAGTGCGATCAAAGCTGGGGTAGCCATTGGGGTAGGTGCTGTGGGGTTAGCTGGTGGGGCTGTTGGAGCTGGTATAGCAGCAGCCTTGTTGGCAGGAGAAGCCATTGTGCTGGGCACTGGTGCTACTTTTGCGATTGGGACTGTGGCCGGGGCAGGCACATTTGGACTTGTGGGAGGAGGAGTGGGAGCTGGTGTGGGGAGCCACTTAGGGAATGCTAAGAGCAACAAAGCCAAGAATGAGGCTAAAGATGATAATAAGACTGAAGAAGAAAAAGAAGAAGAGGAGAATGTGTCAGATGAGAAGAGTCTTATTAGCTGATTAGGTGCATCTTAAGAATTGGAGCCCCTACTTCCTTCACCAAAGAACAAATACCTGTTATAAAGATATAAATCCCAGGAGTCTAGTCTCATGTTCACTCCTTTGTCCCAAGAACTATGAAGAATTAGTCACTTCCATTCTGGGATAGTTATAAAATAGCATAGTTCCAGCACAAAGATTTGGACTTGCTAGTGTCAATAAAAGACAAAGACAAATGCTTCATTCAGTGGCAATTAAAAGAATAATTATTTCCTCTGTATCTCTCCCTCCCATTTGGGGGAGGGGAGGCAGGCCCCAATGAATTACTACTCTTTTCACAGTACCAAGTTTCCCCTGCTCTAGCATCTATTTTGAGATATAGAATAAAGGAAAAGCGAAAATTATATCCATAGCATTAGCTGTAGACATGGAGCTACTTAATGATATCCATTCTGCATTAGTCTGCTTTGGATCAAAATATAAAAGAATTTAAAGTGGGCCTTGTCATCTCAAAATTTATCACAGGATCCTTCACCTTTTGCAGAAAGATTGTAACACCTCCCAGATAGAGCTGCATCAAGTTGTAGTAGCAGGTACAGTTAAAGGTGCAGTTTATGTTGTGTCTCAGTTATACCCCTTCCTGAATAGGGACACCCTTCATTTCATCATTCATCCCCCCCATCTCCTGTCTGGATTATTGCAATGCCCTCTACATGGGGCAACCATTGAAAATTCTTCAGACTCTTCAGCTGTGTGAGTTGCATTGGGTGTTGGTTTATTTCCAGATCCAATTCAAGGTGCTGGTTATGACTTTTAAAATCCTACAAGGCCTATAAGGCCAGATTACCTGTGGAACTGGATTTACCCCATTACAGCAACCTGTCCCACTTGGTAAGGCAGAGAAGGTAATGCTACAGAACCATTAGTTAAGAATTTTGACTGGTGGGCTCAAGGAAGAGAGCTTTCTCTGCCACTGCCCGCACTCTTTGGACATTTTCCCCCCAGAGGTGAGGCACCCCCCCCCTCTCCTGGCTTTTCATAAATGCTTGAAGACCTGGTTGTGTTGACCTGGTTGGGGCCCACAGAGGAGCACATAGCCATGGGGCTGGCTAGTGCACCAAAGACTTTTCTTGCCTTTTTAATCTTGAACTTGAACTTTTAAGTTTAACAGAATTTTCCTGTTTTTAATCCTTTTTATTATAATATAGTTTTTATGATTTTATATCTATTTATATACTGCCCAGAGTCCCTCTATGAGAGAGATGGGCTGTTTGCAAATATGATATATAAATAAATTCAAGGTTCTGATGGTCACCTTAAAGGCAGCACATGGCTCAGCAGGTGGCTGAGATCAAGTCAATTCTGCTGGTCCAGAGAGAACAGGGAGACAAGGCATGTTAAAGGTCCTTTTACTAAGAGAATATCATGTCATGGATCCTAAGCCTTCTCAGTGGCAACAACCTCTTTTGCAAATACCTTCTCCAAGACATACCTTTCCAATAAATTTTCTGGGAACTTTAAAGGTTTCTGGAATGTATTTGGGAGAGAGATGAAATGCTGGGTTCTGAGGATCATAGGATGTCCTTTGTGGTTACATGTTTTTAAGTTGTACTGCTATAATAGATAGTTGATGATGATGGTAACTGATAATAGATAACAAACAAACTAAACATTTTTACAATAAATAACAAGCTGCACATTTACCAAAAAAGCTCCTTGTTGAGCTTATGATATACTGCATCATATAACATTACCAGAATAATAATAAAAAAAACTTTTAATGTTAGTGTTTTATATTTATAAAGACTTGTTTTTATATTTGTATTGATTTCATATACTTATTCTATACTATCCAGATCATTTTGCATTAGATAGACAGCTATATAAATTTGTTTAATAAATAAATCCTAGGTCTCTGATAGAACTGGAATTTCCAAACGACATCAATCAAATACATGATTCTGTTTGTTTGTTTGTTCTTTATATTGTGTTATAGGAAACAGGATGGGGAAATGAGTAGAGGGACTTCATTTTTTTCCAGAAAGGAAAGATAATTCAATTTCTACCCACTTCTTCCTTTACTGGGTTCTGTTGCTTTAAACAAAGTTTCTCTCAGCTCGCCTGGATACCAGAAGCAAACCAAGGTAGTTTGTTATAGCACAGTTTAACTGAGGTCCTTTCAAGCACCTGATTATTCAAGGAGCGGGTCCCTAGCATCTTTCTGAATTTCTATTCAGGATGACCATTTTTTCTCTCTAGGTGTGTTCAATCAGTGTATTAAAAGCATCTCATGTTCCTCAAAAAAAATGGTCTCACAGTCTCTGGTGTCATTATAATATTACCATCCTAACCCAATGTGATGTCTTGGACACTTCAGTAGAAGTAGAAAGAAATAAAAAGAATCATTCACATAAATACAAAATAAGAGAAGCTCTGTTGAAGAATGAGGAAAATTGCTTTGCAGATGCATGGATGCTCTGAAATTGGAGGATTGGGCAGCTATTTGTTTGGAGAGATGTGAGGATTTCTGACACTGGTGGGGCTTGAACTAAAAGATCTCATACAACCCTACGGTTCTATAATTCTATTTTGTCCAGGATCTTCCAGTGTGAGGGCTGATCCTACTTAAAAGCTTCACAGGAGGATGAATGCCAGTATTCATTTTACCTAGTCCAATAAGCCAATAAATCACACAGAGTTGAGGAAAGTGGGTTTCAACATTTTAGTTCTGTGCAGAAATAAAAAGAGATAGTCTTGGGGCCCAAGTCCAAATCAAGCACCCCTGCTGAAATTCAACAAGCTCTTTTTATACCATAAAACCACATATAACCCAGAATTTCCTGATCTTTCATTATTTGTTTCTGATTTCTTAATGCCAATTTAGAGTAATATTCCATAATAAGCATGGGGTGGGGTGGATGGGTTTGCACTTAATTACCTAAGCTCTCTTTTAACAGGCTGATGACAAACTTTTACCTTTGGATCTTTGCCTGGACATTTTTAAACACAGCTAATCTACATGTCATGTTACCTTTCCTTGTTCTAGTAATGGGCCCATTTGCAAATTTCTTTAGCGCAATTACAAAACCACATCCTGCCATTTAGACTGACAGTATTTGTGATCATTCTCCTTAGCTCTTTGCTAACAGATGTTAAAGAAGATGTCAGTTAATTGCTAAAGACTAGGTCTAGCAAAGACACAAAGACCAACGTTTACAGAAGCTTCTAATTATTTGTTAGCAGGTTAATAGGCCCTCCTTTTCTAGAGCCACAGTTCTTAGGCCCTCACCAGAATTTCCTTAGCTGAGAAGGATATCAGTATGCAGCAGACAAGCCAGATGTACTTCCCATAACAGCTCAAGGTTAAGGGGGTGACAAACATTTTTCTACAGGTTCTTTTCATTGGGAGAATCAGCCCTTTACCTTTGCTGCCATATGTACAGTTTTGTTTCTAGATCACCTTTGGCAGGATTTGCAGACGGTATATCAGGTATGGTTGCTCTCATGCTTCCAGTGGACATGCACTGCGAGTAAAACAATGGGAATGGAGTTCCTCTCATCTCTCTGTTGCAATGTCACATCCTCTTGTGAGTGACTGGATCGTCCCAGCTACGTATGGATACTGTAGAGCAGGTCTCCAACTTTTCCGGGCTCAAGAACCGGAGGAAAGGGGAGCAGCTTCAAAATTGATGTGTGCGCACACACACATAGGGCCACACACACTGGCGTGGCACTAGCAGCCCTGTTCGCATATGTGGCATGCACTGCACACACCCCATGGCAGCTAGTGGCCCATTCACCTGCCCAACACTAGCATCCCCATTCATGCCTGCGTGCATGCACAAACGGGGCCGCAGGCCCTAGCGCAATTGGGGAATGAGCACCCACGCGTGCACACACTACCCAGCCATTTCCGTGGCCCACTGGCCAAGAGCCTGCAGCCTGGTCCTGGGTCGCAGACCATAGGTTGGGGACCCCTTCTATAGAGGACAGAATTACTGCCCCAGTCAGGTCTCTTAGGAAAGAAAGACCCTTGACTTCGTTTCGGTGAAGTAATAGGTTCTTTTACTAAAGATTGCTGGCTGCAGAAAAGTCAGGCTAGAACTAAGTTTCCTGCACAAAAAGTTACATTTCTTTTTTTTCCCCAGCCCATCCCTCTCCCCATAACCAGTTCATCTTCAGCCAATGAAGAGCTGCATAATTGTTTTGAGAAACACTGAGATATTTGGGGCAGTCTACATTCCATTCTCAGGGTATGTGGCCTTGAGTGCTGGCACAAACTGGTTCCATGCTTCCCTGGTCTTTGTCAAACTGTTATCCCCCCTCCCTATTTTCCTTCACATCCCCACACAGATTTATTGCCCATATGTCCCCCTCCCATGTCCCTTCCTATAGCCTTTGATCGCAGGATGCCAGTGAGGCACTAAGCTAAAGATGGCAGAACTGACAATTACCTCCCAAGACAGGGATGGGCAATTAATTTTCCCAAGGGGCCACCTGAGAAACTGGGACTGTTCTGGAGGACCAAATCAATGTCTGATGTCCTCAAACTCCATCACCTCAGCTCCTCGGGCTGCTTTAGGTGAGACGGGAGTGTTGCACAGGTCTCTCCTTGTCATCCTGCAGCTGCCAGCCGACTAAAGGAGTGCATTGTGACTGCACAAGCCAGATTCAACTCGGCTTCTTCTTTTGCTCCCTGTGGTCCATTTATTTACATTTGATTTCTAATTTCCGATTTACTTCATACAGGCTAGAAGAAATAGCCAGGACTGGATGTGGCTCAGAAGCCATAAAATGCCCAGGTCTGCCCCATAACATCATCCAGATAAACTTGTTACAGAAAGCATAAAAAGCTGATATTCTGTGTTCAGAACTGGAAGTTGATTCTGGAGTCCATCTTCTCTCTGGGCGATGGTTTTACAATGGCTGCACATTGTTCCCTCTATTGGTCCATTCAACTTCATTAACTTGCTGGGATTCAGGAGCTCCAGAGACCCTTAAAAGCGGCAATAGATTGATGCCCTTCCCTGGCAAGAAGTTAGTGAGGAAACTGAGGGTCCCACAGAAGGCAAGAATCTCTCTTTCCATTATAATCCTTTATGTTTATGACATGTTCTTCTTTACTTGAATGTCCTTATTAACATAAATTCGAAATAAAAGAGAGCATTGTTACATTCTACCACTAGGGGGAGCATTGGTGTTATAAATTCTCTGTTTTAATCGGTGG